TTCAATCATATTGCATCAAATCACTATTCATCACTGAACTTGACAAAATATGTCCTCCAACAACAATATCCGATACTGTACTATCCATTCTTCTACTACCACCTCCACCACTTCCGATAGAATTTGATGTCGAAGTGGTCGTATAATTGGATGAGGATGAAACTGTAGGCTCATGATGATTTTTTTTCTTATCAAATTCTCCCGCCAAAAACGACCCGTTGTTTTTACTGTGATTTGGAGGTGAGTTTGGCGAATCAAAAACAATTGGCTCGAGTTGATGCTGCTGAATATTGTTGTTGTTGTTGTCGTTTTGTTGTTGTCCTCCTCCACTAGTAGTAGCAGCAGCACTACCACCATTATTGGTATTTGGGGAAATTGCCTCGTTAGATGATGTAGTGTTTGAAGTTGTTGTTCCCGTTGTTGAATAATAATTATTAGAATTATTATTATTATTAGGTGGAGAAATATTATTATTATTATTCAATGATGGAGAAACCATCAAAAATTGATTGTTACTATGCCGAATATTATTGATATTCGACGATGAATTTAATGATGGGGAATTAACAAGTGGAGAGGAAGATAATACTGATGATATTTCATTGCTAGCACTACTCTTTCTGGTGAATGATGGAGAGTTCTCGATATTATTGTTATTATTATGAATATGAATAGGAAGAGTGTTGGAACTTGCAGTTTTGGGAAGATTTGGAGAGTTAGGTGATGAAATTCTCGGTTGTAAGGAATTGTTGGGACTAGTTGGAGAAGATGACTTGATGAAAAAGCTTTTGATACGGCTGGGAAAGTTTTTGCTCTTGTCATTACCACCCTGATTTGATGAAGGTGATTGTGTCATTTTTTTTCAAATGACTAGTGACATATTCGTTGGAGAGAGGACAGGTTTATTCCGATATTGTTATGATGAAAATATTGTAGCAGTATATTGAGTATTCATCAGAATGCAATAGATACTACAAAATTCTACCAGTTGTAATAATGAAAGGCATCCAATAAGTATTCTATTTCATTGTTAGTTGTTGAAATGATGAATTGTGTGATGACTATAAATTGACAGGAAACAATCCATGTCATTCCATTTGGTTAGTACACTTGCCAAACAAGTCAAGTGAAACTTGTGTACGATATTGGCTGGAAAAGTGGTTCAGTACTTATTACAAAAACATAATTATAACTTGTCATGTAAATACTAATATACCACCAATTCTTTGTTTGATGGAAGAATTCCAAACAGTGGTCATGGTTGGGGTCTTGTACCAAGTATTATGATTTGAGAAGTGAGAGTAGTGCTATTAATACTTGCCAATATATCGATAGTCTTGTTAATTTTCCATTAAGGCAACAGAAAGTTAATTTATCATACTCTGTTTGTAAATCATCAAGAAACGCTCTAAGATGCAGAGGTTCATGTTGAGCATGATGTACAGGTAGTCAAACACAATGAACACAACAAACAAATTTAGAACAAATGACAAGAAAAGCAAAGGTATCCCACTGAGATTGATTTGACTGATTTGCATTGGTAGTGTTTAGATAATAGTTGTAGTGGAGGGTTGTTTTTACGAAGACCCATGAGCACAATCTATTGCCATATTATTAATCCTCTCCGTTTACAATTCATAAAAGGAAAGATTTAAGCAATAAGGGAGGCGAAAGGCTCAACAATAAAACCTCCCTTAATAATGAAAAATTGAATATTTGCCGATGAGTCGTATGATCAAGTTTACTTCAGAATTAGTTAACTTCATTGTTTATGGTTAACTTGAATAGATATAACATAACATCAGAAAATGATTACAACAAACAAAACCGTTAGGTCGAAACAATTAAAAACTGGTGACTACCTTCAGCTGGCTAGGAGGATACCTTTCTACCTCTTCTATTGTAAAATACACAAATGGTAGCACTTGATTGGTCCTGTCATTGTAACTTTTGAATTCCCTTCGTGTATGAAACGTCATTGACGAATGTAACTAATTCTAATTATCATTCAAAAAAATGTTCAATACTAAACAATTCCTTGTTGTCATACTCGCATTGCTCGCTTTTGTTGGCACCTGCCAAGCTGCCACATTGGCTTTTTTGAGCTTGACAGTTCCAAACACTGTTACTAGTGGCCAAACTTTCTCTGCAAGTGCCAAAATGTTAGATTCTAGTGGAAACACCATGGCAGCTTCTGGTTCTGTTGTTTTGAGTTGGGAAGGAAGTGGTACTTTGGGTGGCTCTACGGTTGCTTCATTCTCTAATGGTGTTGCTGCCTTCTCAGTTTCCATCACAGTTTCAGCTGCTACTTCTGGCATGTTGAAAGCAACCTATACTTCTGGTGGATCAACCTATTCACAATCTCTCAGTGTTGATGTCCAAATTGGTTCTAATAATCCATCAGGTGATTATACATCTGCTTGGGTTGGCACATGG